GAGAACGTACGCAGGTGGTGCGCGTCTTGTCGTGAATGTCAGCTGGTGAATCCGCCGGCCTCCCCAAAAGCGCCATTGCGCCCACTTCCCTTAATGCAGGTCCCCTTCGAAAGAATTGTGATGGACCTCATCGGGCCATTAGAACGTTCCGCACGAGGACATCGGTTTGCATTAGTGATAGTGGACTATGCAACCCGATATCCCGAGGCAGTGGCTCTCCGCACCATCTCAGCTAAGAGTGTTGCGGATGCACTGTTTCGTTTAATCTCCCGAGTGGGGATACCGAAAGAGATCCTCACTGACCAGGGCACGGCGTTCATGTCACGTACTTTACGCGAACTTTACGAGTTGTTGGGCGTTAAGTCGATTCGTACCAGCGTCTATCACCCACAAACAGACGGACTGGTCGAACGATTTAATCGCACGTTAAAGACCATGATTTGTAAATTCGTTCACGAAGACGCCAAAAATTGGGATAGGTGGTTGGAACCCCTGTTGTTTGCTGTGCGCGAGGTCCCGCAAGCCTCCACGGGGTTTTCCCCCTTCGAGCTCCTTTACGGACGACAGCCCCGCGGGGTGCTGGACGTCCTAAAGGAGACTTGGGAGGAAGGACATTCGGAGAGTCATAATGAAATCCAGTATGGCCTGGACCTGAGAACAAAACTCCACACTTTGGGGCGGCTCTCAATGGAGAATTTGTTACAGGCTCAGGGCAGACAGACCCAGTTGTACAACAGGGGAACCCGACTTAGAGAATTTTCACCGGGAGATAAAGTCCTTGAATTACTTCCTACGTCAAGTTCTAAATTACTTGCAAAGTGGCAAGGACCCTTTGAGGTCACACAGCGAGTGGGCGATCTCAATTATGAGGTACTTCGAACGGATAAGTGCGGGGCACGTCAAATTTATCACCTCAACCTCCTTAAAAAATAGAATGAGGCGGAGTCAGTGATGCTGGCAACGGTGATTAGTGCGGAAGAGGATCTCGGACCAGAGGCGAATTTTAAACAGCAATCCCTCGCCCTGGCCCCGGGGGGAGATCATCTTTCACCGTCCCAGCTTGCTGACGTAGTTAGGTTGCAGGCAGACTTTGCCGACGTGTTCTCGCCCCTACCCGGTCGAACTAATCTTATTCAGCACCACGTTGAGACCGAGCCGGGCGTGGTCGTTCGCAACCGGCCGTATAGGTTACCTGAACACAAAAAGAAAGTGGTTCAGTCTGAATTAGAGGCGATGCTTGAAATGGGGGTAATAGAAGAATCCCACAGTAACTGGGCAAGCCCGATAGTTTTAGTGCCTAAAACCGACGGCTCTGTTCGATTCTGTGTGGATTACCGCAAGGTTAACGCTGTGTCGAAGTTCGACGCCTATCCAATGCCGCGGATTGACGAACTGCTTGATCGGCTGGGCACTGCTCGCTTTTATTCGACACTGGACTTAACGAAAGGATACTGGCAGATCCCCTTATCACCTTTATCTAAAGAAAAAACAGCCTTTACCACGCCGTTCGGGTTACACCAATTTGTTACACTTCCGTTCGGGTTGTTCGGGGCTCCAGCCACGTTTCAGCGTCTCATGGACCGAATTCTCCGGCCCCATGCTGCGTATGCCGCTGCCTACTTGGATGACATCGTCATATACAGTAATGACTGGCAGCGGCATATGGAGCATGTGCGAGCTGTCCTGAGAGCGCTGAGACTGGCTGGACTCGCGGCCAACCCGAAGAAATGTGCAGTTGGGCGAGTAGAGGTCAGGTATCTGGGCTTCCACTTGGGTCACGGGCAGGTGCGGCCGCAAATTGACAAGACCGCAGCGGTTGCAACTTGCCCGAGGCCCAAGACCAAAAAGGAGGTGAGACAGTTCCTGGGGCTGGCGGGATATTATAGAAGGTTTGTGCCTAAGTATTCGGACCTCGCCAGCCCGCTGACTGATCTCACTAAAAAGGAAGCACCAGACCCGGTCCAGTGGACGGAGCAGTGTCAGCAGGCCTTCACCCAGGTAAAAGCTGCTCTGTGTGGCGGCCCACTTTTACATTCTCCCAATTTCTCTCTCCCTTTCTTGTTGCAGACAGACGCGTCGGACAGGGGGCTGGGAGCAGTCCTGTCCCAGGAGATAGAGGGTGAGGAGCGGCCGGTGCTGTACATTAGTCGTAAGCTCTCAAAGAGAGAGACTAAGTACAGCACCATTGAGAAAGAATGTCTTGCCATCAGATGGGCCGTCCTCACCCTCCGCTATTATCTCCTGGGGCGGGAATTCACTCTCTGTTCGGACCACGCGCCCCTCCAATGGCTCCACCGCATGAAGGATACCAACACGCGGATCACCCGCTGGTATCTGGCCTTACAGCCTCTTAAGTTCCAGGTGTTCCACAGGCCGGGTGCACAGATGGCTGTGGCTGACTTCCTCTCCAGGAGGAGGGGGGGGGGGAGGCTGCAGGCCGGATGGCTCCCCGGCCTGAGTCGGGCGGTGGGGGTATGTGGCAAGGGGGGCGTGGTCTAGCGGGGCCTGTGACAGGAGAGAGGATTGGGAGACAGATGCGGCGTAAGTGGGTCAAGTGCAAATAACCTACACCTGTGTCTTGTTTCAGTGATTGGTGTGGAGAGACAATAAAAGCCAAGTGGAAACAGTATGTGGGAGAGAGACCGGCGGAGATCTGTGTGTGTGGTCGCGTGACAAGCTGCAGACGGTGGGAGAGAGACCGGCAGAGAGCTCGGGGAACACATTGAGTGATTGCCAAACACTAGTGGACTGAGTTTTGAGTATACAGCGCTGTGTGCGCGACTTTTGTTTGTTTATTTTACGTTGTTCCAATAAAGACCCACAGTCTCCGCAAGCCGACCCTGTCCTCTTCCTTCCCAGAACCCTTGAGACTTGCTACAGTATGCAAGCATTATGTAAATGTGTTACAAGCCTACTGTTGGTTTGTGCTGGAAATAAGAATGGAATTAATGATGAATAATTTCAGGCAGGTCAGAATTGGTTCTTTCTTTTGGGAGACAATGACGGCATTTATCGGGCATTTAGATTTTTGAAACTTTACAGACCTTTTACATTCACAAACAGCTATAGTAGACACTACATGAAAGGTAATAACCGAAAAAGCATAATAAGGGCACTTTAAAGATGTGTATTATACTCCATCGCTCAGTTACACACACACACATACAGAATTTAATTGTTCATGCTTATTTGCCACATTTTTATATTTAGATCAAGTGCCTAAATTCACTAAAAATACTAAATGATTGATTTTAGTTTTTAGAGCTTCATTTTTATGTTTCGTTAAGTTTAGACAAAATGTTATAGAATTTTTAACACAAGACATTTATCAGTCATTAAAATCAGCCAGAATTTTTATACCAGTCCATCCATATCAGCACATTGGCTCATTATGAAACAGCCCTCATCATCTTCCAATCCCATGATCCCACAACCTGCATATGTGAGATGAGCACCTACAATGCCCCAGTTTACCGCTCTGCGCGGACCCTACAGGGCCCTTTTCCGTTTGCATGTCCATGCATGTATGCATGTTTGTTTCATTCATCCCTGTGAGTCTGCCTCCTTTTAAACCCCATGCATCTCCTTTGTGCATGTCGTCGCTCACGCCAGCTGCTCTCTGAAGCCACAGGAGTTCCCGTAGTTTCCAGGCTTTAATTAGCCTCGGAGGGTCAACACACCTTCAGGTGCTATATAGCGCACTCACACGTACACGTGCACACATATGCACTTTTCTTTTCACAGAAATCAGCTCTATATGGTGTCCCAGCAGGCTCCATTCCATACTTTAATGAATAAGTTCAGAGGAATAGTGAAGAAAAATAATGATCAAATGTGGCTCTCTCATCTCCACCATACATGTGCATCTGGGTTTATTGAAAGCCAGGGTGCTGACAAAACCGACATTATAATGTGTCTGTTTTTTAATTGTGAGCATGCCCCTCCCCCCCTCAACATCTCTAGATTTCAAACATGAGCCAAACACCTTGTCTTCACCCAAACAAACACATCCACCCCAGCTAGAGAACCTGTTAATTGCCATTTTGGTGTGCATGACTGGGCTTGCACCAATGCTCATATTTACATAGTTTTACTAGACTTTACTAGTACAAGAAAAGTAGTCGACAAGTCAATGTTTACCTTATAAAAATGGCTCACAATACACTGATGCGTCAGCTGCCTTTGCTGGTCCTGGTAAATCCAATGCCTTGCTGACGGAGAGTGAGCAGGTGGAGAGACGGTCCATGCAGCTGGGACAAAATCGTGCTTATATCTAAAATAAAATACATTTTCTGATAAGTATTCTGCTCTTATTTTACAGTAAATAAACTGAAACATCCTCAAAAAAGATAGCAAATAAATATTATATTTAGTTTATGTTTCTCTCCTCATTGGCACTGACAAACCTCACAATCTTGTTAGATTTATGCTTAAAAAATGTCAGTGGAGTAAGAAAAATAAGCTTACTTCAATCAATGAAATCTTTAATACCTGAAGAAAACTCACGTTAGCATTCATCTCAAGGGCAGTTAGCAACTGGTTGGTACGGGATCCTTGTAAGCAGACAATTTGAAATCTGCCATTTTTGCTTTTTGCTCATGAACTTTCTGAGCCAATCACCTGAAATTAAGTATGGGGGGAGAAAGATTTCATTAAAGCTAAAAAAAAAAAAAAAAAAAAAATCAGGTTCTGGTTAAAATCTACTGTAATGTAATATAGTATATATTTCATATTAGATATAATAAAAATACATGGCTAATTTTGAATCAATGGAGAGAAAAAAGCTTTTAGAACCAAATATGGTGTAGTTATAGCATCTACCAGCAGGGGCTATCATAAAAGTGTCATAAAAGTTGTACATACATACATAAATATGATACTTTTATGATACTTCTATTTGAGCTTTTATGTCCTTTTTGGATGACATTCTATAAAACCTCACTTTTAGTGCTTCACAGAAGAAAGATAGACACGATGATAGAGGACATTTTAAGATAGATGTCATTTGAGGTGAACTATCCCTTTAAAGATAGAAGGCGACAAATTCCTCCCCTAATAACACTTTTTCTGAAACGAATAAATCAACGGCGTCAAACCCGTTGCCAAAGTATGATTTATGCATCTCTCTTTCCCTGAGCATCTTCCATGCCATCCATCATATTCGCCAAAATCCCAGAGAATACGGGTTAAATCATCTTCACCTCATCTCTCCTTATGCATCTGGAGTGTGTTAAGGGGGTGGGACATCTCTGAAGTTGAATAATAATCTAAATGTCATTAATCATTAGTCCATAGTCGGTCTCTTTCTATGGCTGTCTCTGTCTCTCACACACACACACACAACAAGTCTAGAAAGGTGTGCTCTGTCTGTCTGGCGTGGATGTCGCTCTCTATCATTTCCCAGTACACCCACATGTTTATCGTTGACTGCCTGTGTGTCTCCATTCGTGTCGGGAGCCTTGGTGACTGTGCACATGAGCGCTCTCTTGCACGTCACACGGAAATATCCATCCTTCCCAGGGGCTTCGGCAGCTTGAGGGTTTGACATCGAGATGTATGGGATGTTCATGGTCCACTTGGCCCGCTGTTCCCAAACTGTAGAAGTGAACAGCATGCAAGACGTCAGATGCAAAAGGCATTAGATTCATGTAGATTCAGCTTTATGGCTCAGCTCCGAATTCTCATTGGATGAGACATATTTAAAGCCGCTGTAAAAGAACAGATATACAATCAAACCAAAAATTATTCAGACACCATATAATTTTTTTATATTTTTGTACTAGTGGGTGCAGGACACCATAGTTCATTTATGTAAGCGAGGATAGCAAAATAAAGTAAACTGTGACATAGTTTACCCAAAAATTCTAGTATTAATTATAGTCTAGTCCAGGGCCGGCCCGAGGCATAAGCGAACTAAGCGGCTGCTTGGGGCCCCCCAATCGAGTCGAAAAATCGAAAAATATTTTTTTAGATAACTTAAACAAGTGACATAAATGAATAAATTAATATGAATGGATGAATAATTAAAGACAAAAAAAAATCTGATTTCATGATCAATATACCTCCCTACAACTGCTGCTGTGTCTGCCAGCGTTTAAAGGAGAACTCCGGCGCAAAATGAACCTTTGGTCTAATTACACATTCTTACCTAGTCAACCGTTATCTGAGATTTGTTTTCATGATTATCGAATGTAAATAGTTTTATCTCTAAAAACAGTTTAGCCTATAAAGCTAGTATAACGCTAGTATATTGGGCATGGAGTAATGACAAATAAAAATCGCTTGTTAATACCACTAACAAGGCTCAAAATAGCCACACACATAATGAGGGTCCCTACCTTCAAACCGAAGCATTGAGAACTTTGTCAGTGTCCAGACAGTTTAATAAGAAGATATTTTTTACATACAGTCAACTTCGCGTATACAGGCAGAAGCCATCTATGAAAAACAGTCTCTACCAGTTGATCTACGAACGCCGATACTAGAGATAATATATATATTCCATATTTTACCACATGCATCATTATTATTTTAATAATTGTGAATAATAATAAGTGAATAATATATATTAATCAATTAAAATAATGAATGTATATATATATATGTATAACACTGTATATATAACACTCTGTTTTATATATAAAACACTCTGTCGAATAAACTGATTTTTTGTGGTAAAATATGGAATATATATATATATATATATATATATATATATATATATATATATATATATATATATATATACATATTCCATATTTTACTACGTTCATTCAGAATTCAATTGCACTCACAGGTGCATACAGTCAAACAAAAAAATCAGACACCTTCAACATTTCTCACATTATCACAGTTTATTCGACATTGTGTTTTATATATAAAACAGAGTGTTATATATACAGAGTGTTTTTTTTATATATATATATATATACACTCACCGGCCACTTTATTAGGTACACCTGTCCAACTGCTCGTTAACACTTAATTTCTAAGCAGCCAATCACATGGCGGCAACTCAGTGCATTTAGGCATGTAGACATGGTCAAGACAATCTCCTGCAGTTCAAACCGAGCATCAGTATGGGGAAGAAAGTTGATTTGAGTGACTTTGAACGTGGCATGATTGTTGGTGCCAGAAGGGCTGGTCTGAGTATTTCAGAAACTGCTAATCTACTGGGATTTTCACGCACAACCATCTCTAGGGTTTACAGAGAATGGTCCGAAAAAGAAAAAACATCCAGTGAGCGGCAGTTCTGTGGGCGGAAATGCCTTGTTGATGCCAGAGGTCAGAGGAGAATGGCCAGAATGGTTCGAGCTGATAGAAGGGCAACAGTGACTGAAATAACCACTCGTTACAACCGAGGTATGCAGCAAAGCATTTGTGAAGCCACAACACGCACAACCTTGAGGCGGATGGGCTACAACAGCAGAAGACTCCACCGGGTACCACTCATCTCCACTACAAATAGGAAAAAGAGGCTACAATTTGCAAGAGCTCACCAAAATTGAACAGTTGAAGACTGGAAAAATGTTGCCTGGTCTGATGAGTCTCGATTTCTGTTGAGACATTCAGATGTTAGAGTCAGAATTTGGCGTAAACAGAATGAGAACATGGAACCATCATGCCTTGTTACCACTGTGCAGGCTGGTGGTGGTGGTGTAATGGTGTGGGGGATGTTTTCCTGGCACACTTTAGGCCCCTTAGTGCCAATTGGGCATCGTTTAAATGCCACGGCCTACCTGAGCATTGTTTCTGACCATGTCCATCCCTTTATGGCCACCATGTACCCATCCTCTGATGGCTACTTCCACCATGTCACAAAGCTCTAATCATTTCAAATTGGTTTCTTGAACATGACAATGAGTTCACTGTACTAAAATGGCCTCCACAGTCACCAGATCTCAACCCAATAGAGCATCTTTGGGATGTGGTGGAACGGGAGATTCGCATCATGGATGTGCAGCCGACAAATCTGCGGCAACTGTGTGATGCCATCATGTCAATATGGACCAAAGTCCCTGAGGAATGCTTCCAGCACCTTGTTGAATCTATGCCACGAAGAATTGAGGCAGTTCTGAAGGCAAAAGGGGGTCCAACCCGTTACTAGCATGGGGTACCTAATAAAGTGGCCGGTGAGTGTATATATATATATATATATATAAATTCATTATTTGAATTGATTAATATATATTATTCACTTATTATTATTCACAATTATTAATATACATAAACATATTTACCCGTTGAAACTTGCCATTGCCCATCCCTAGTGTAATGTGACTCCTGCCGCCCATCAGTTTCTCCAGTAAGTGCATTGTGAATATATGAGGTTCATTAGTTCCGAGAAATCCAGCAACAGGTGTGCTTGAGAAAAAAAAAGTGTGACCTTGAATTTACATTTGAAAGATTCTAGCAATACTTTTGAAAACAACCTCAGAAGGTTTTAAGCTGGACTCTTCAGAGAGTCTCTCAGGGTGGCATTACCTTATGATGACACAGTGCTGTGTGTAGCAGTCATCTAACCCTCTTTTTAGTTAGAGAAACCCAGGTGTGTGAAATTTAGCCCCGGTCCTGAACTGCTGCGACTGGTGTGGTGCACAGCATAAAGGAGCTTGCTTAGGGAAACCCAAAACTGCAGGACGCTCATGTTGTTCATATGCAGCATATTTACTGATACGTTTAGATAATGCAACCTTTTGACATGAAGTGTCAAGTGTCAATATTATCCACAATGATAATATGCACATTGCAAAAAAAAGTGCAGCAACACTCTGTCATTTACAAAGTACTGGTTTGAGAGTGAAAAAGAACATAAAATTAAACAGTGCATTCGTACCACACATATACACTCACCTAAAGGATTATTAGGAACACCATACTAATGCTGTGTTTGACCCCCTTTTCGCCTTCAGAACTGCCTTAATTCTACGTGGCATTGATTCAACAAGGTGCTGAAAACATTCTTTAGAAATGTTGGCCCATATTGATAGGATAGCATCTTGCAGTTGATGGAGATTTGTGGGATGCACATCCAGGGCACGAAGCTCCCGTTCCACCACATCCCAAAGATGCTCTATTGGGTTGAGATCTGGTGACTGTGGGGGCCATTTTAGTACAGTGAACTCATTGTCATGTTCAAGAAACCAATTTGAAATGATTCGAGCTTTGTGACATAGTGCATTATCCTGCTGGAAGTAGCCATCAGAGGATGGGTACATGGTGGCCGTAAAGGGATGGACATGGTCAGAAACAATGCTCAGGTAGGCCGTGGCATTTAAACGATGCCCAATTGGCACTAAGGGGCCTAAAGTGTGCCAAGAAAACATCCCCCACACCATTACACCACCACCACCAGCCTGCACAGTGGTAACAAGGCATGATGGATCCATGTTCTCATTCTGTTTACGCCAAATTCTGACTCTACCATCTGAATGTCTCAACAGAAATCGAGACTCATCAGACCAGGCAACATTTTTCCAGTCTTCAACTGTCCAATTTTGGTGAGCTCTTGCAAATTGTAGCCTCTTTTTCCTATTTGTAGTGGAGATGAGTGGTACCCGGTGGGGTCTTCTGCTGCTGTAGCCCATCCGCCTCAAGGTTGTGCATGTTGTGGCTTCACAAATGCTTTGCTGCATACCTCGGTTGTAACGAGTGGTTATTTCAGTCAAAGTTGCTCTTCTATCAGCTTGAATCAGTCGGCCCATTCTCCTCTGACCTCTAGCATCAACAAGGCATTTTCGCCCACAGGACTGCCGCATACTGGATGTTTTTCCCTTTTCACACCATTCTTTGTAAACCCTGGAAATGGTTGTGCGTGAAAATCCCAGTAACTGAGCAGATTGTGAAATACTCAGACCGGCCCGTCTGCCACCAACAACCATGCCGCGCTCAAAATTGCCTTTCTTTCCCATTCTGACATTCAGTTTGGAGTTCAGGAGATTGTCTTGACCAGGACCACACCCCTAAATGCATTGAAGCAACTGCCATGTGATTGAATGATCAGATAATTGCATTAATGAGAAATTGAACAGGTGTTCCTAATAATCCTTTAGGTGAGTGTATATATATACACACTATATTGCCAAAAGTTTTGGGACGTCTGCCTTTACATGCACTTGAACTTTAATGACATCCCATTCCTGATCCGTAGGGTTTAATATGGAGTTGGTCCACCCTATGCATCTATAACAGCTTCAACTCTTCTGGGAAGGCTTTCCACAAGGTTTAGGAGTGTGTTCATGGGAATTTGACCATTCTTCTAGAAGTGCATTTGTGAGGTCAGGCACTGATGTTGGACGAGAAGGCCTGGCTCGTAGTCTCCGCTCTAATTCACCCCAAAGGTGTTCTATCAGGTTGAGGTCAGGACTCTGTGCAGGCCAGTCAAGTTCCTCCACACCAAACTCGCTCACCCATGTCTTTATGGACCTTGCTTTGTGCACTGGTGCGCAGTCATGTTGGAACAGGAAGGGGCCTTCCCCAAACTGTTCACTCAAAGTTGGGAGCATGAAATTGTCCAAAATGTCTTGGTATGCTGAAGCATTAAGAGTTCCGTTCACTGGAACAAAGGGGCCAAGCCCAACCCCTGAAAAACAACCCCACACCATAATCCCCCCTCCACCAAACTTTACACTTGGCACAATGCAGTCAGGCAAGTACCGTTCTCCTGGCAACCGCCAAACTCAGACTCGGATTGCCAGACAGAGAAGCATGAAGTGTGATTCGTCACTCCAGAGAACACATCTCCACTGCTGTAGAGTCCAGTGGCGGAGTGCTTTACACCACTGCATCCCACGCTTTGCATTGCACTTGGTGATGTAAGGCTTGGATGCAGCTGCTCGGCCATGGAAACCCATGAAGCTCTCTTCTTGAGCTAATCTGAAGGCCACATGAAGTTTGGAGGTCTGTAGCTATTGGCTATAGAGCTGTATACACACACACACAAGCAATAAACATGAAATGAAATGATTCTTACCGGTTTCCTCCTGTTTCTGCACATGATGGTCCGATCACAACCAGGACACATTGTCATCTTCATTCTGTCTGATCCTCTGTGGAGGGAAAAGCTTCTGACCATTATCTGATGTGCCGAGACCACCAAAAGACATTTGATGCGTTTAAAACTAGCTACTTTTCATACTAGGTTAAATTTATGTCAGGCAGTCTTTATCAAAAATATCTAATCTTCTTATAGTTCTTGCACAACAAACACATGGGATTTGTGCCAGTAAAGACTGATGTATACTGTATTGATGCAACGTACATGCAAATATCAAACTAAATAGATGCTATTCAAGGAAAATGACTCCATCGAATCATTTCAGCCAAAAAAAGCTGACTTTATGAAACATTTTCTCTTCTGCGTATGTTTTACGTTTGCATTACATGTGAACTATAGATTGCCATGGGCTCATTCTGACACATGAAGCGCAACCAGTACATGCTAATATTATTGTCAGTGTTTGTTGTTTTCTCACAGTTATATTAGAGATATGACAGGAGATGCACCAAAACATGATTAGAAATATCAAAGGATCTTGTTACACCATCTTAACATGGGGGAACACAAATAGATTTATTTTTGGTCCAAAGCAAATCGGAACACAATTTCAAATGAAGTGTTGTCACAGCATTCCTTTGCCAGACAAATTGAACGGGGAGTTTGTGCCAGCACTTTGGGCTCTCCCATTATTACAGGCAGATTAGTAGTGGCGTTTGCGAAGGCAAACATCACTAGTACTATTACTCATAACCAAGTATTTTTGTCATGGTGCCAAATTATCAGTAGTCGATCTTCTTGATACCCATTTCAATACCACAACAAAAACGAACTTGCTACCTAACACTTTTTAAAAATGATTTAAAAAGTGAAATATTAATGCAAACTAATTGTGAGTAAAAAAAATCATGTAGCCTTCAAACATTTATTCAAGACAAGTAAACACCAAAAAATGAGCAAAGAAACATATTAAGCAACTGAACAAAGACTGCTTGAATTTTTCAAAAGTTTGAAAGAAGTTTTCTTCATTTTCTTTTTGAATGTATTTTAAAATATGATTCCTTCCAGTGTGCCGATGTAAAAATACATTGTATTTACATCAATGTGGTCTGGGCTTTTTGTAAATGATGATAGTTGTTTATTAGCACGGTCAAGTAACGGAAGCATAAAAAGAAAAGTACAGTTAACTTCATGTGGTCTTCGGGTCATTTTGACCCGGAGAAGATTTTCTTTTTCCCAAAAATACTAGTTAATGTTATCGCATTGGACTGAAACTTAGTGACTTTGTTCCCAAAGGGTATAACTACTTCTCAAAAGTTTTTTGAAAATTTTCGTACTTTTTTAGGGGGGGTTTGTTACCTTGTTACACTTGTGGTCTTCCCGGGTCAAAATGACCGGCCTGAAAAAAAATAGCTTATAAATCACTCATTATACCGGTTTTGTATTTAATTTTCAAACGGTTTAATTGTAGGAGTCATTTATCCGAGCTTATGCACTTCAGTTTTTGAGTGAAAAAAGCATTATTTGTTAATAATTTTGGCAATATTGAGTAAAATATGAAAATAAATTGCACTGTTGATCACACTTGACCACAAGTGTGACTATGTGCCATTTTTTACAAAATAAAAGTTTTTCAAAACAAACTTCCTGATGAAACATTAAAGTAGACTAGTGTGATCAACACTGCCAACTTTTTAAAATATTTTATTTAATATTTCCAAAATTATTCAAAAATAATGCTTTTTTTACAAATAAAATGAGATGCCTACTCTTAGATAAATGAGGCCCACGATTAATCAGATGCAAATAGAAATATAAAACCAGTCCTAATTGAAAGAGAACAAGTTGACAAAAAGATTGAATCCAAGATTGGGTGAAAATATGGTATAATGAGTTATAATAAGCTATTTTTTATAGGCCGGTCATTTTGACCCGGGAAGACCACAGGTGTTATAGGGTTTTGAACACCACATGAGGGTTAAGCTTTTGTCAAAATACAGCAGTGAGGAAATTCGATTGATGAAAAGGACATAACATTTTCTATGTGCAGCATCTGTTCCTCCATCTTCTTCCAGTGTGTGTGCGCGTGTGTTTAAAACCACCTGATTTTAGCACATGTAAAAAAATTCACACTCCAACATTTATTCACATCACTTTTACACCTCCAACTGCTGGTGTGTCCTAACAGAGATAATTTTTGCAATGCAACCATGCAAAACGACAGGAATAGAGGTGAACAAACGCCCTGCCAATGTATGTTTACATATCTCTTTCAAGAATTCAAATGTTTCCGGTTGCCAAATCGCTCTCAACTTCACTGTTGTGCATGCTAACAGATGGAATTATGTGCTCTATAATGCCAGCTCTCTCTCTTTTCGTGTGTGTGTGTTTCTTTCAGGAATCTTTTAAAAAAAGGATCCCACATTTACGATCACATGGCTGAATAACTCTCCTCTGATTTTTTAAAGTTTTACTGCCAGCTATATCCGAAGCATCTCTCCTCCCCCAGTAAACAGCATGTGTGTGTTCTTACTCCCATCAATAACTTTGTGTTCGTAATCATATTTCACAGCATTGGCAGAGACTTTGTTGACACTCTCAGAGATTTTTTTCAGTTCCCGCAGCTTTTCTCTAATTTTGTCTGTTCACTCATCGCTCCTCCTGTTCGG